GAGCTTTTAATTTACCGCTTGAAGGTTTGATGGCTCGCCACTTTTTCGCATGCGTGCGAAGTACTTAGTTACCACCCGCTGGTATTAACAATTCAACTAATGTACAGCTACAATCACAATTGAAATTCACTTGAACACAGCAAGGTTTAAGTATGTATTTATCCATATAAAAATATATGAGAAATAAAAGAAATCACTCAAGCAAGCGCATGTTTTGTAAACTCGTTTATATTTGCAATATATTGGCCATAATATACGTGAAAGAGCTACCAGAGTAAATAGTTACCTTCTCGCCACAATGTCTCACTGTCATTATCATGGCCAACAGCAACCACTTGTACATGAATACGATCATGCTCATATACATACATAAGTACGTTCACCAAAATCTTTCGGAAAAATATTAAGATGTATGTGGGCTGGAGCGATTTGAAAATACATACCTCTAAAACTGGAGTTTTTATGAATGAAAATAGTTTCTTACAGAATTTTTTGAAAAAAAGACCCTCAGATGACAAAACAGTGTAAGCTTAGAACAATCTGCATGAAACTTTAAAAAAAATTTTTCAACGGAATCGTAATAATGAAATTTTTGATGTTGTTTTTTAACTTTTTTTCAAAGATTGGTTTAAGAAAAACTTGAATAACTGAGCCTAAACTGTACCGATTTAGACTTGTGGGGTATCAGTGGAAAGGTATTTTCGCACTCTTGAATGAGTTTATTTGCAAAGAAATAAAAGGAATTAGAAAATACCTTTCATACGTCTAAATCGGTAAAGTTTTGGCTGAGTTATTCAACTTTTCTTAAACTAATCTTTGAAAAGATTTCACAAATGGCATCAAAAATCTCAATTTTATGATTCCGTAGAATTTTTTTTTTAATATTTGTATGCAAATTATTTAAACTTAGACTGTTTTGTCATCTGAGTTGATATTTTCCACTTTTTACTTTAAAAAACTATTTCTATTCATAAAAAACTAAATTTTTGGCGGTATTTTTAAATTGGTCCAGCTCACGTAAATCTTACAATTTTTCCGAAATATTTTGGTGCAAGTCTTAAAATGTCATAGATTTTATAATTCCAGTGGAAAAGGTTTTTTTTTTGCTTGGGGAGTGATGCAGTCTAATGTACATACTTATATATTATACTCGTAACAATCACAAATAAATAAATATTGCATGCTGCAGGAAAGTGAAATTAACGATTACTTGTACAATCGATTTCTTTCTGTACACATACATTCATACATACATATGTATGCATGCACGATTGCACATAACATTTATGTTGAATGCGTGTTTCTTTAAGTTTATTAGTTTTGGGTATCATAAAATACTTTAGCTCTCCCACAATATTGCAGATAATACTATATACTTTTTTCGATACTTTCTTTGAGATCTTTTTATTATATTTTTTTTATTTTATGGCCTAACATCAATTTAATCAATAACTTGAGGTCATTTTAATGAAGAATTATTATGGAAAAACAACCATAATTCGGAGATCAGCACATATCCGCATCAGACTTCTTTATCGAGCTTACGGGCATTTCAGCGCTTGAATTTTGGCGTACAATGCCTATGTACTACCCACTGAATTAGTTGGCGCCAGGTATACTGTGGTTACCTTTTCCCTTTTCTTATTTGTCAGCCCAAGGTAGAGCGGAGATGTGGTGATTTCCGAAAGTGCAGCTATAACTTCTACCAATGTAAATTATTGTGGTTTTTCCATAACCATTTTACATTAAAATGGCCCAGGCTGAGATACAAGTATTGATTACTTTCCTTGATATCGTATGGATTTCGTATGAAACCTTGGGGTGGCCGTATGTCGAGCACAGGACGTTGCTAGTGATTAAAATTTTTCTGCACTATCATTCTTCTTTTTATTAAGCACTACAACCATTAGTCGATTTGCGCCGAGACCAAAAGCTTCCATCTTCTTCAGTACCGATCGCCCACGCGAACAGGGCCATATAGATCTTGCTTAGGATAGGTCTACCGAAAGCATCCAAAGCCTCCTCATCTTTGTTCGATATCGTCCAAGGTTTCTGTGCCATATAAAGTACAGGCATGATGAGAGCCTTGTAGAGCGTAATTTTTTTTGCCCAGAATCTGCTCTGCTTTTCAGATGCCTGCCGGCTAGAAAGTAGCACCTGTTCGCAAGCAAGAGTTATCGAAAAATCATTTACAAAGTGCTGCTTAAAAGACAAAGAACGAAATTTTTTCATCGGATAGTCACTGGGTATAAACATTTCAAAGCTCATATAAGAATTTAGTATCGAACCACTTTTGAAATACCACCTTTCCGATCAAAAAAAATAACTATTGAAAACGGTTCACTTAGTCCAAAGTTATCCGGTAACAAACATAAAAAACACAACAAATATTCCGATGAATTGATAATCTTCCTCCTTTCTTGGGAACAACCCAATAAAGCCGATCCATTGCAATCAAAGATAAATATCTGCATCTGGCGATATGTGAAGGGTGTTATTGAAGACATCTCTGGCGATGTACATATACCGCGAAAATTAGTGCGCCTGAAAAAATGTTGACGAAAATCAAACACAAGGTATTTTGGCCAAAATACCAGGTATAAGAAATTGCGAAGCGAAACGAAGCTCCGGGTGCACAAACTGAACGAAGCGGAATGAAACTTTTCTCATGGACTCGGCTACAAAGATATCACAGAACTTACCTTCAATCAAAAGCGGCTAAATTATTTGCTAATTTACTTCAAAATATTTGCTGGAAAATTGGTTTTTATTTAAATATTTCGGTTTGTTATAAAAAAATGCTTTGCTTTCAGCTCCAAAAGGCTTCTGGGAAAGCCTGCTATATGAACACCTGCATAGAGCTCCATCGATTTGAAAGCTCGGAACGGCTTCGCTCGGCTCGACCTCGCTTTCTGTGTGAACGCACCCTAAGCTAAAAGAAATCTGCTTTGGAAATAAATTCTGGGTCAAAATTCCAAACCGAGAGGTTTGTTCAAAGAGTTCACCGTAATTGGATCCCAGATATGTACACTGGTATACAGATGGATCACAGATGAAGGGCATAGCAGGTGCGGATTTCTATGGACTTGGAACCAAACTTTCTATTGCATTGAATATTTGACCATTAGTCTTTCAGACTGAGATACTAGCAGTTTTTATTTGAGACAGATTGAACCTTGAAAGGTTTTGAAACAGCTAGGTTAGGTTTTCAGACAGCTAGGCGATCATAATGGCTGTTTTCATTAGAAGTACTAGGAGTACTTTGCACTATCTAACTCTTGGCAGCAAGAAACACGGTATTTTTATGCTGGGTACCAGGACACATACGGGATTGTACTTGTGGAACCGGAACAATTTTACGGACTCAGTTAGTCGTCTTCGAAACTAATAAAATATGATTTTGGTGCGCTGAACATGAACCTGATATCACGTCAGGATTTTTTTCCCACCTCTAAAGTATGGCGGATACATATTATGTGACAGACGCGTTGGTACACAATTACTTAAAGATAAAACTTAAAAGCAATTTGTTTCTAACTTAGATAAAAAAAATTATATTAAGTTTATTAAGAGATCTTGTAATGGGTGCATAGTTTAAGTTATTTTATTTTAAAACTTTAACATGCAACGGAAAGTGGTTATAATTTTGCTAGGAAAGATATAAATCTTTTGATTATAACCAACATCAAGTTTTTTATTGGTCATGTAACTGGTCATAATCAATGCGCTCTCACATGTTCTATCCACAGAGTCGCATTGTTGCAGTCTTTGGCAGCGGTTTCGGTTACAGCCGAGAAACTGTTAGCTTTTATTAGGGAGGCTGATAGTATCTTGGTCCGTCAGGTTTAGGAACTATCATAGGGTTACAACAAATCTTGTTACTGTTGGACCAATTAAATACGAATTACAATAAAAGCTTATTTTCTACAAAGGAATTCCATGCACTTTTTTTCAACAAATTATCATAAACCACAGGTATTTTCCATTCCACTCATTTCGATTGCGTAAAAAATGCGTGTAAAAAAATCGCTCTTTAATAATTATTTTTTATTATAACAATTATTTTTGATTTTTATCCAAATAATCTGTAAATAACAGTTATTTTTGGTTTTTAATTTATATGTCTTAGATAACAGTTATCGAAGATTTTTATTTATAAAAGTCATACATAAAAATCAGTTACTGACTTTTATTTTTTAAATCATACTTATAAAGGTCATTTGTATAAGTCGTAGTAAACGTTTGTCTTCCAATACCTTCTTAACTGCGAAAAATGTTAATGACATTTATACGAATGATTTAAAAAATAAAAGTCGGTGACTGATTTATATTGATGACTTTTAAAAGTAAAAGTCACTGACTGATTTTTATTGATGACTTTTATAGATAAAGGTAAATAACTGTTATATAAAACAAATAATATAAAAATCAAAAATAATTGTTATTTTGGATTTATAATATATCAAAATCTAAAATAATTGAAATTTTTTTAAGTTTTGAATAAAAATTGCTAATAAAAATTTATTTTGAGTCTCGGTGAAAAAATAAATCGGTTGGTATGTATCACTTAGTTGTAGAACATTTCCTTCTTAGTGAATTTTTCCATGACAGTTTTCATCAATAACTGTTATGTTCGGTTCCTGGTAAAATTTAATTAGGTGAAATAAATCGGATGCGTGGCATTGATAAACTTACAGGTAATAATTAAAGTCCAAAAGAAATCGAATGCACATATGCATGCTTTGAACATATTGAATATGAATATACAAATTTGTTAAAATACCTCAAATGCCTCCGGAATGTAGTTTTTCATAGTCATTAGAGCAATGCAAAAATTATTTCTTTGAAAATCATACACTGTGCATCACGCAAAACAAATATCAATTGGAAGCTATTGCGAACAAGTTTCCTTCTTAAGACTTTTATTTCTTTAGTGCAATCACTTGACCATTTGCTCATGTACTTACTTATATATTGCTTTTGCTATTTTTTTTTCACAGGATGCTGATACTGTGGAACGACTTAACGAGTCGGGTGAACTGCGACAGCTGCTCAAACCATACAAGGTAAGTCTCGACTATCGGCTATCGTTGGTTGCGAGAGTGGCGCATTGGCCAAAGGAAATGCCTGCACGCGTCAACCAATTCGTCCAATTGTTATTGACATTTGTCAATGCGGCATGTGACCGCTTTTTCATGGTCATTGCACCAACCATAGCACGAGAGCGAGCGCATTTCGCATTTAATAAAAGCATACACTTATAAATTATATTTATATGTACATATATATATTTTTTTTATATATGGAATTCTTTAATTTATTTCATTCTTTTTTACTTCGTTGTCTTTATCAGTCAATTGCTACCACATTCACTTGTCAAACATGTGGCGGCTACCGCCTACTGCCGTGTCCCTCATGCAATGGCTCAAAGAAATCGGTGCATCGAAATCACTTCACGGCCGAATTTGTGGCACTGAAATGCATGAATTGCGATGAAGTTGGACTTGTCAAATGTCACAATTGCTAAGCGAATCTAGCGGGGAGGAGTCAATCATAACCTGCCTCTATGTGCGAGTGGATAGTTAAAATGATGAGGAGCGGCTATTCAAAGTTTGATTGACTAGGCTGAATCCAAATGGGCGTGTGGAGCCAACAAACGGGCAATCGACAATTGTCATATGGTGGAGAGTAGCATTGCTTTGGCATGCCACATAGATATGCATACAGATTTAATATACACATACATATGTAATTTAATTTGTGGCATGTATGTATATTTCTAATTATATAGTTAGCTTAAGCAACGAAAGAGTCACTCAATATATTTTTTTATTTTTAACTTTGAACGGTAAGTATGTATGTGGATTTTACCGCTATTGTGTTGCTTATAAGTAAACAGAATTTTTTTATTTTCTTTTTTATTAGTATTTTTACTTTAAATATGTAGTTAGTGCAATAGCGTAATATTATTACTAAGAAATATTTTTTTTTTTCTGCGAAAGTGGTAACCATGAACTAATAATGGAAAGATATGCATATGTATAATATAAACGAACAATTCAACGAAATATATTTGATGAACGCTTGCTTCGCTGACCTTAGCACTATTTATTTTTAATGTCTTATTGTTTAATTAACTGTCTACATTTACATATGTATATGTATGTAAATTTATATTGTACACTATTATTTAAAGCATGTGTATGTAGACAAAAGGCTTCGATATGATTGACGGTCACGAGTGTATTCGAATTTATTGTATGTATATATTGTCGGTTGTTGGAATTGCAAATGTGACGGTTGTGATAATTTAACACAGATATTAGAAAAATAAAAGACCTGTAAGCTTAAATGAATTATCGACTAAACTTACTAATATGATAAGTCTTAAATAATGCATTCTATAAAGATTAAAAAAAAAGTAAATAAAAGCAGATATTGAAATAATGAACCTGTTCACGCTTGTTTGTGTATGGTGAGATTTGATTAAATAAAAAAAATTTGATAGAATTACAAAAATTAAAACTTTTTATTACTTATGAATATTTTAGACAAGATTTGCTGTGAATCAACCTGCAGATACACGCCGCTTAACTAAATACGGCATAAAATGTTTGAAATTTTGGTGAATATTTGTTGATGCCCGGTTGCACTAATCAATTTTAATTTTATCAGCCTGTTAAAATTTAAAATGGCACAATTTTGTTCGGAAAATTTGTCATTTTAAATTTTAACAGTCTGATAAACTTTAAACTTGATTGGTGAAAGTGCGGATGAGTCTTTATAATTTTTTTACAAAGTTAGAAATGTGAATTTACATATATGGTGTTTGTTATATGATGAGTTAGACGTTTATAATCAATAATAAGTTTAAAATAAAGAAAACGAAAACAGCCGAAACTTTTCAAAACATCGCTTACTTAAGTAAGTTGATCACAAGGGTACATAATCTGCCATTGAAATAGTTTTAAAAACATTTTGGTTTTCTTTTTTTTGTAAGATATCAAGTTCAGCATAGACAAGCAAGTGTGAATTGGCGTGACTTGAATAAGTAACATAGTTTTACCGATAAAAACTACTATTCCGAATTAATTTAAAAATATATGATTTTAACTAATAAATAAATAAAAGTTAAATTGAAAGAATGCATTGTTCAATATACCTACATATATATGTATTATATTATGCCGCGCAAATATGTACGAAAAATGTTTAAAGTTGCAGGTTCTCCATTTATTTACATAGGTTTAAAGGATATTTTTGTATGTGTAAATACTCAAAAATACTTTCACCTCAACTTTTTTTATTCCCATCTTGTATTCATAAATATGTATGTACTATTTTAAATACAACTCAATTTGTAGAGACAACCAAAATTATAAGCAAGTGTTATTTTATGCACAGCCTTTGCTGATTATTTCAATAGGAAAATTAATAATATTCAGCCCAAGAAAGTTAATAATAATATCTTTATATTTTCAACCAAAACACGTAGATGTATAATATATTTATAGGACAAACTTCAACATAAAATTAAATGTAGCTAATAATAAGTATGTATATGTATGTAATCAGACATTTTAACATAATTATATGTATGTATATGTGCATAACTACATACTTACTCGGTTATGCATTGATCCATATCTTAACGTATGTACGTATAGCCATAATTCTGCTATTCACATCTATTAATTTCTCGATATCTATAAATGATTGAACGAAATCTATTCAGATTGGCATCAGCTATGTATATAAGAACATTAGGGCGGGAAAAATTGTTAGGGTGAGAAAAACTTCAAAAGGCGTATAGCGAAAATGAAATCTACGCCAATTTCTAAGAAAATCACCCTAAGAAACCAGGGGTCTAAAATTATAATCTAGTTCTCGCCGACTGACATAAAATGTCAGTTTGAGCTATATTAAAATAACTGTACTGATTTTATGGAAAACAATATGTTATCATTAAAACCAAATATCGTATATTATTAGTTCGAAAAGTAATCAGAAACTTGCAACTACTTGCAACACCTTACACACATTTAATGTTTACACGAATTACGAAGCCGCTAAATATTTGTTTTGTTTGATTTATGTATGCACTTTATAGTTAACGTTCAAAAAGTAAGTGTGTATTTTTTTTTTTACAAAAACTTTTTAAAATAAATAATTGGAAATCATGGAAACATATCTGATGTAAATTTGCTCTTTAAATTCTAAAATAGCTGTGTTTGGAATGGCTTTCAGGTCAAGTTTTGATTTTATACCCAAAGTTTTGTGGCGAAGTTTGCTTAGAATTCTATACGCCTTTTGACAAACACAATTGACCCACCCTAATGTCCATATCGTCGTTTAAAGAACGAAACCGCGTATCGTGGTCTGCAAAACTTCGTAACTGACATTTGTGCCAAAAATGGTATTTGGTCACCGGTAGCTCCTG